TAGAAATCAATATATTAATTTTTTTTAATCACATGCTTAATCATGATTAATTTTTTAAATCGCTTAACAGCCCTAGTATCTACATGTGGGTATATACCACATACCCAGGATCTATCTAGGAAAGGATGGTTCAAAGAGGGCATGTTGCCTTTAGCCCTTCATCCTTAGCCCCTGGGAAGAGTAAAAAGGGGGGGTTCCAGCAATTTAGTTGTCCCAGGAATATGTTAATCTCTTAACCGGCTTCAGTCAAGTTTTTTTTTCCTTGCTCACATGTCTATTATATTAAACAGAGCTTCAGTCTTCCTGAACATGTAAACATGATGATGCTTACGAGATTGAAATAGCAATGCTTTGTCATTGTTGTGTGGTTGCTGACTGGCTTTCTGACTGTCAAACAATCAGAAATCAAGGATGTGGGGGTGGGGTGGGAGGGGGGGAAAGAAGAAATGGCAGGTCATTCCAGGATGGGGAAATAGCCTATATGGAATGATGGGAGAAGGAGTGAGAAATCAAGAATTCTGCACTTTAGATCAGAGATCAGTTAGCTCAGATTAAAAATAATTTGGATCAGAGGTGGAGATCAGTAGAGATAAAAGATCTTTTGAATTACGAAAGAGGGGACCAGAGATCAGAGAATTTGGGTAAGAACTGTAAGTGACTGGAGATGTGCAGTGAGGTTATACATAAAGGGATATTTTCTTCCCTCTCTAATGCTGTTCAAAACAGCAAAGGAAATATCTTAGATGACATTTAAACAGAAAGGGTGGAATATTGGAAAGAGAAGGTTCCATGGGATGCGGGTCATGAATGATATTTGGGCAATGTATTCAGATATCGTGATGGGTGCAACCTAACTGCTTAACCAGATAGATAGTGGTAGACTGGTAGTTGGAAAATGGCAATTAGAGTTGGGCAGCTGAAGAGAAAGGGAGAGACCTAAATAAAGGGTCAGTGATAGCAACAGGGCACCCACCAGGATGGGAATAAAATTAGTAAAATCCAAAGAAGAATGGAGAGTAGGAAACGGAGTAAACTGTTTGAGAGCAGTGACCAGAAGTGAAAGCTGAAGAAAGGGAAAGAAAAAAAAACAAAAACAGAACCAGGGAGAAAGTGAGAATAGAGAAAGGAAAGCAGACTGTGAAATAAGCCTGAAAAGATGAGTGAGTTCCTATCTACCATCTCTCTCACTGCAGTGAATGGCTGGAAAATTTATTGCTGCCTGAGACAGGTTATGGTAAGAAATGGGGTTTACACATGGAGGGATCTTCTTTCCTCAAGACTGCCAGTCAAACAAAAAATGTAATGTTTTGGATGATGCCTCTTTTGCAGGTGAGGGAGCCTAGAGTGTTCCAAGGATTTACAATGAGGGTTGGGACAGGGGGAGATGGCTTAGCCTTGTTTTGGAATTTTTTCAATATTTTAAAAGCGTGTGTGTGGTTTATTTATATCAAACACATTTTACAAAATTCTGCTAAACATTCAGCATCAGACTTTTTAATAGAACGATTATAAAAAACACTGCCTACCTTGCTGTTCTCCTTCCCCGTTTATCTCCTATGTTTTGATTTATCTTTTCTGCAGAATTTAAACAATTTTAACCATTTCTTCATAATATAGTTTTAGAATCACTGAAGTCTTATTTGTTAATTTCTCTCCTGTTTTCTTGCCTCCCAATTTTCTCCTTCCCTGTCTCTCTCTCCCCCACCACCCCCAATTTTCTTCTGTAGTCTCCCTCATCTCTTCTGGGACTGTTTTTTTCACATCTCCTTTCCCTATATTTTTCTCTTCTACCTTCTCCAATGTGTTTTCCTTCCTTGCTTCCAATTTGAACTTCACCTTTAATTACTCTCTCCCTCTAGTCTCTCCTCTCCCATAACATGTCTGCTGTTTCCTCTTTTCTCATTCCTTCCCCTCCATCTCTCCTGATCTCCTCTGGAGCCCCATCCTCTACTCCTATCTTTTCCTCACACCCTATTTTCCCTCTCTACTCCTGCCTCTAGCCCATTGTCCATATCTTCCCAGGCATCCTCCCAACCCCAATTTCCTGTTTTCTTCTGCTTCCTTCCACCTCTACTGCCCCAAGGTTTTCGCATTTCCCCTCTTCTGCCCTGTACCCATCAGCTTCCTCCCCCTTCCCATTTACCCCTCTCTCCTCTGATCCTTACTGTCCACACTGTCCCCCTACCTGGGGTTGACCTTGCCTAATTTTACCACGAGGTAAAACTAAAGAGCCTTGTCTTCACTGTTTTTACCTTGGGGTAGCTCATGTGCATTAGGTACCCTCAGGCAAAAAAAGAAAAGCAGCTTTTATAGCAGTAAAGGCAAGGCCAGGGAGAAAGAGAGAAGATGGGCTGAGGGATGAATGGGAAGGTTGGGCCATTTCCTGGACCTCGCCAGACTGAGCACAGGAATGGGATGTCCTTCATGGCTCAATGTGTGGGGAATCTCAGCTTGGGGTGTGGGTAATGAAAGTGAGTGACAGTTGTGGAGAGTGACAATTTGTGCGAGTTGGGTAGTTACAGCTAGGTTGACAAGGAGTAACAGTTGGGGGTAAGAGGGAATATCAGTTGGAATGACAGTTGCTGGGAAATGGTAGGGAGTGACAGTAGGCAGGTGGCAACTGGGGAGTATGGAGTGCCAGTGTGGGTGACAGGAAGTGACAGTTGGAGGGAACAACTGGAGCTGGGGGATTGACATTTCAGGGGTGGAAGAGCTGCCAGATATTGACAGTTACAGGTGATATATGGAGGAGGCAGCACGTGACAGTGAATTATATTTGGTCAACTGGGAATAATAGAGAATGAGTGTTGGGATATGGGCAATTGGGAGTGACAGAGAGTGTGCAGTGGAATTGACAGTTGGGGAGTGGGCAGTAAGTAGGGAAGTGGAGTGGGTAGCTGGGAATTACCACTATTAGTGATATTTGAAAATGGCAGGAGTGCCAGTTGGGGACTGGACAGCTGAGAAATAAAATGCAAGAATGATCATTGGGAAGTGAGAAGCTGAAGTCTGACAGGAAAATGTAGTTGGGGATAGCATTATGGGAGGGTAACAGTTGCGTATGACAGCACTTATGACTTCTAGGGATAGTGGCAAGTCAAACTGGGTAGTTGACAAGAGAAAGGTCTGAAGAGAGTGTAGTTACAGCAGCACGATACCCTTGAGAAAGAACAGGATTGGGAACAGACCAGGGAGAAAGGGAACAGGTCATGAGCATTCAGTGTAAACTATCAGAGAAGAACTCTGTAAGGAAAATGATTTGACTCAGTTGAGGAAAACAAAATATTATAGCAGAAGAATGAACCAATAGAATCAGGGAAAAATTGAAACAAACAAAAAGAGAGGGAGAAACAGACTGATATCCACCTGAGAAGATAAGTGTGTTCCTACCTATCTTTTACTGCAGTGAATGAGGGTGTGTCTCTACACTACAAATGCTACAGTTGCAGCTATTCTGTGGTAGCACTGTATCATAGACACTTACTACAGTAACAGAAGTTTTTCCCATAACTATAGTAAATCCACCCACTTGGGAGATGGTGACTGGGTTGATCTAACAATTCTTCCATCGACTTAGCTGCATCTACAATGGGGTGGGGGGATTAGATGAAGTTTTCATAGCCCTGAGTGAGGTAGCCAGGTTGACCTATGATTTAAGTATAAGCCAGGCCTGAGTTAGAATCACGACTCTCCTAGCCTTTATTTAAAAATGTAAAATATTATGTATTTGTATGTTTTGAGGTAGCACCAAAAAGGCCCTAGTCAGATCAGGTCCCCATAGTGCTTCAGGTTATTAACACACTAGACACAGTCCTTGCCCTGAAATGCTTGCAGTGTAAGACAAAAAGCAGACAAAGGGAGGGGGTACAGGATACAAATTGTATGTAAAGTTGTCAGGGAAATTATATTAAAGACACACGCTGGGTGAGGTAATATCTTTTTCAAGCTACACAGAGATCTTCTTCAGGTGAAACTTGTCTCTCTCACCAGCAAAAGTTGGTCCAACAAAAGATATTACCTCACCCACCTTGTCTCTCTAATATCTTGGGACCAACACAGCTGCAACAATACTGTAAACAAAAAGGGAAACAATAGGTATATGACTTATTAGTTTTACTTTTTCCCCCACCAAAGACAAGTAACATATGGAGAGTCAGGGAGAGGGAGATCAGCAAAATATATACAACACTGAATACTTACTTTAAAAAAATAAATAGACAATCACCTATGCTCTGAATCTGTCTATTGTCAGTTGACCAATATTTTGTAGGCCTTTTTTCTCACCCCCTCAGAACCTTAACTTAGGCCTCACTATCCAACCCCAACCATCCACACACTCTTGGGATCAACCACATGAGGTAAGAGTTCTCACCACCTCCTGGAAGGTCAGGGACTTCTTCCAGTTGCTGCACCTTCACAGATATGGGAACTTCCTTTGCAACCTTAGCCCTGGTCTACACTAGGAGTTGAGGACAAATTTAGCAGCGTTAAATTGATTTAACCCTGCACCTGTCCACATAACAAAGCCCTTTTTTTCGACTTAAAGGGCTCTTAAAATAGATTTCTCTACTCCACCCCTGACAAGGGGATTAGCGCTGAAATCGGCCTTGCCGGGTCGAATTTGGGGTACTGTGGACACAATTAGATAGTATTGGCCTGTGGGAGCTATCCCAGAGTGCTCCATTGTGACCGCTCTGGACAGCGCTCTCAACTCAGATGCACTGGCCAGGTAGACAGGAAAAGGCCCCCAAACTTTTGAATTTCATTTCCTGTTTGGCCAGTGTGGCTGTTTGCCTGTGGCTGAACAGAAAACGTTCCCCACTGTTAGCCACAGGGAGGGATGAGGGGCTAGCCACATGGTGGGGGGAGGTAAAATGCGACCTTGTAACGAAAGCACATGTATGTAATGTTAACAGCAAGGTTTACTGTGAAAGACTGTACCCATTGTTCTATAAAAGTGTCTTTTTAAATACCACTGTCCCTTTTTTTTCCTCCACCAGCTACATGTGTTTCAGGGATCACAGGATCTTCTCCTTCCCAGAGGCTAGCGAAGATTAGAAGGTGGAAAAAAAAATGCACTCGCAAAGAAATGTTCTCTGAGCTCATGCTGTCCTCCCACTCTGACAGAGCACAGACGAATGCATGGAGGCAGACAATGTCAGAGTGCAGGAAAGCACAAAATGACCAGGAGGAGAGGTGGCGGGCTGAAGAGAGGGCTGAAGCTGAAAGATGGTGGCAGCGTGATGAGAGGAGGCAGGATTCAATGCTGAGGCTGCTGGAGGATCAAACTAATATGCTGCAGCGTATGGTTGAGCTGTAGGAAAGGCAGCAGGAGCACAGACTGCCGCTACAGTCCCTGTGTAACCAACCTCCCTCCTCCCCAAGTTCCATAGCCTCCTCACCCAGACACCCAAGAAAGCAGTGGGGGGGCCTCTGGTCACCCAGCCACTCCACCCCAGAGGATTGCCCAAGCAACAGAAGGCTGGCATTCAATAAGTTTTAAACTTTTAAAGTGCTGTGTGTCTTTGACCTTCCCTCCTCCACCACCCCTCCCAGGCTACCTTGGCAGTTATCCCCCTATATTTGTGTGATGAATTAATAAAGAATGCATGAATGTGAAGCAACAATGACTTTTTTGCCTCTGCAAGGGGTGATCGAAGGGAGGATGGGAGGGTGGTTAGCTTACAGGGAAGTAGAGCGAACCAAGGGGTGGGGGGTGTTTCCATCAAGGAGAAACAAACAGAACTTTCACACCGTAGCCTGGCCAGTCATGAAACTGGTTTTCAAAGCTTCTCTGGTGCACACCGCGCCCTCCTGTGCTCTTCTAACCGCCCTGGTGCCTGGCTACGTGTAACCAGCAGTCAAGTGATTTGCCTCAACCTCCCACCCTGCCATAAACATCTCCCCCTTACTCTCACAGATATTGTGGAGTGCACAGCAAGCAGTAATGACACCGGGAATATTGGTTTTGTAAGCTCTAACCAAGTCAGTAAACTGCGCCAGCGTGCTTTTAAATGTCCAAATGCACATTCTACCACCATTCTGCACTTGCTCAGCCTGTAGTTGAACAGCTCCTGACTACTGTCCAGGCTGCCTGTGTATGGCTTCATGAGCCATGACATTAAGGGATAGGCTGGGTCCCCAAGGATAACTATAGGCATTTCAACATCCCCAGTGGTTATTTTCTGGTCTGGGAAGAAAGTCCCTTCCTGCAGCTTTTGAAACAGACCAGAGTTCCTGAAGATGCGAGCGTCATGTACCTTTCCCGGCCATCCCACATTGATGTTGGTGAAACGTCCCTTGTGATCCACCAGTGCTTGCAGCACTATTGAAAAGTACCCTTTGCGATTTATGTACTCGCTGACTTGGTGCTCCAGTGCCAAGATAGGGATATGGGTTCCGTCTATGGCCCTACCACAGTTAGGGAATCCCATTGCAGCAAAGCCATCCACTATGACCTGCACATTTCCCAGGGTCACTACCCTTGATATCAGCAGATCTTTGATTGTGTTGGCTACTTGCATCACAGCAGCCCTCACAGTAGATTTGCCCACTCCAAATTGGATTCCTGACTGTCCGGTAGCTGTCTGGCAATGCAAGCTTCCACAGGGCTATTGCCACTCGCTTCTCAACTATGAGGGCTGCTCTCATCTTGGTATTCTTGCACCTCAGGGCAGGGGAAAGCAAGTCACAAAGTTCCATGAAAGCGCCCTTACGCATGCGAAAGTTTTGCAGCCCCTGGGAATCATCCCAGACCTGCAACACTATGTGGTCCCACCATTCTGTGCTTGTTTCTTGGGCCCAGAATCGGCATTCCACCACTTGAACCTGCCCCATTAGCACCATGATGCCCACATTGCCAGGGCTGTGCTTTGAGAGAAGTCTGTGTCCATGTCCTCATCACTCTCGTCACCGCGCTGACGTCGCCTACTCACCCAGTTTTTCTTTGCCAGGTTCTGGTGCTGCATGTACTGCTGGATAATGCGCATGGTGTTTAATGTGCTCCTAATTGCCAAAGTGATCTGAGCAGGCTCCATGCTTGCCATGGTATGGCGTCTGCACAGAAAAAGGGCGCGGAACGATTGTCTGCCATTGCCCTGACGGAGGGAGGGGCGACTGATGACATGGCTTACAGGGTTGGCTTACAGAGAATTAAAATCAACAAAGGGGGTGGCTTTACATCAAGGAGAAACAAAAACAACTGTCACACAGAATGGCCCCCTCAAGGATTGAACTCAAAACCCTGCGTTTAGCAGGCCAATGCTCAACCCACTGAGCTATCCCTCCCCCCAGTATTTCAGGCAGGACTGAATCTCTATTAAACTTTTCAAGGTGCCCCTGACAGACCTCACCGAAACGATTGTCGGCCGTTGATTTCACAGAGGGAGGGAGGGGGAGCAAATGAATACAAAACAAATCTGGTGTATTTCTTGTTTTGATCCACTCCATCTATCTTTTAGATCTTTGGCTGGCAGCAGATGGTGCAGTAGGACTGCAAGTCATCCTCATCTCCTGGCTGCTCGCCATAAGACGGTACAATAGGACTGCTGGCAGGACTAAACAGAATGACCTGGTCGAGTCACTCCTATTTTAGTCCCTGCGCCCATGTCTGCCCAGGCGCTCCTGACCGACCTTACCGAGGCGGCCAGGAGCACCTCGGATATGACGACGATGGTTATCAGGCCTCTTGCACCATCTGCTGCCACAAGGCAATAGGTTGCTGCTGTGTAGCAATGCAGTACCATATCTGTCAGCATCCAGGAGACATACAGTGACAGTGAGCTGAGCGGGCTCCATGCTTGCCATGGTATGGTGTCTGCACAGGTAACTCAGGAAAAAAGGCACGAAACGATTGTCTGCCGTTGCTTTCATGGAGGGAGGGAGGGCCTGACGACATGTACCCAGAACCACCCGCGACAATGTTTTTGCCCCATTAGGCATTGGGATCTCAACCCAGAATTCATAGATATTTAGGTCAGAAGGGACCATTATGATCATCTAGTCCGACCTCCTGCACAACGCAGGCCACAGAATCTCACCCACCCACTCCTGCAAAAAACCTCACACCTATATCTGTGCTATTGAAGTCCTCAAATCATAGTTTAAAGAATTCAAGGAGCAGAGAATCCTCCAGCAAGTGACCAGTGCCCCATGCTACAGAGGAAGGTGAAAAACCTCCAGGGCCTCTTCCAATCTGCCCTGGAGGAAAATTCCTTCCCGACCCCAAATATGGTGATCAGCTAAACCTTGAGCAGGCGGCGGAGACTGCGGGAAGTGTGGGATAGCTACCCACAGTGCAACACTCCAGAAGTCGACGCTAGCCTCGGTATTGTGGAAGCACTCCGCCGAGTTAATGCACTTAGAGCATTTTGTGTGGGGACACACACAATCAACTATATAAAAACGATTTCTAAAAAACCGACTTCTATAAATTCGATCTAATTTTGTATTGTAGAGAGTGTTCCTCTGCTGACAGACAGATGCACAGACAGCCCTTTAATTAAGAGTGTGGGTTGTACTCTCGATGTGGGAGGCTATGCCTGAGAGTTTTGGTTGAACTTTGGCAAAGAGGAATTTTGCATTTTTGTTCTTAAAATAACTGAATATAAATAAAACATGGTAAATCAAGGGGCAACAGTGAAATAGAGGGGGAAATAGGTTGTGTTAAATAAAAATAGAAATTAGGCTGGGTAAAAATTAAAATTGAAAAGAAAACTAACAGTCATTTGGAAGCGGGCAGTTGAGGATAACTTTTATATATAAATATAGAAAAGCTAATGAAATACTTATCCAACATTGCCCTGCACTCTGTACCGGTATGTTTTATCAATTTCTTTCTTTTCAGGTGTCTTTTTTAGATTGTAAGATCTTTGGGAATGGGGCAAGGTCTTATTTTTCTACAGCATCTAATACAATGAGCTCTAGTTATGATTGGGGCCTTTGGATGCTACTGTAACACCAATAAATAATAATATCCAAAGAAATCATGTCATGGACCGGGGAGATCATAATCTCTCTCTGTAGAGGTCTGGGAGCACCGTAATGCACCTAGAATATTATGTTACAGTATTATGAGCAATATGGGTGTGAAACAAAAAGGTATCTAAGCATTGCAATGCTGAGTGTCAACGGCACCTAAATTTTTTCCCCCCTCCCCAAAGGGCCATCTTTGCTTGACCCAAAATAAAGTTTCCAAGACATACCATAGATGTATTTGTGAATCTGTACTTAACAGTAAAAATAAATACAGTAGGAGAAAAAATCAAGGGACATTAACCAAAAAATACCTGGAGGTAAAAAAAAAAAAAAAATATTAATAATGGCTGTAACCTGGAACAAGAAACATATGCAAAACAAATGCATTTGTCCTCCATGTCACAAAAAGGACATGACACAGACACCTGCGGAGTCAAACAATGCACAAACACATTTGTGGAAATAACCCCATGAAGAATTCTCCATTAGAGATCATCTATCCTCTTTGCAATCAGAGGCTCGTACACAGTTCACCAGGCTGGAGTCTGCCTCTAGAAGCTGTCATCTCCATTCCACATTGGGATAATCAACAAGCATCCAAAAATGATGAATCTTTACCACAGGCATATACAATGATTATAGCCTAAGCTATTAAAGGTAAATTCAAAAAGACCCACTGAGGGCAAGCAAGCTGCCAGGCTTGTCAACATCCCAATCCATAGCAGGAGTAACAGCTAGAAAACAACAAGGAGTCCAGTGTCACCTTAAAGAGTAACAGATTTATTTGGGCATGAAGAAGTGGGCTTTTACCCATGAAAGCTTATGCCCAAATAAATCTGTTACTCTTTGAGGTGCCACCAGACTCCTTGTTGTTTTTGTGGATACAGACTAACACAGCTACCCCGATACTTGACATCAAGCTAGAAAATAGAAACATTAGTAGAATCAGGAATGGTTCACTCAAGGAGGTAACCATCCAGATTGGCAATTCTGCCCCTAGGAAGGGCTGATTCCACCTCTGATAAAAATCAAGAAACTCAGCAAATATAATGAAAATCAAGCTTGACAGCTAAGATATCAGCTGAGACCCATGTAAAATTAGTTGAGGCACACACATCATTTGCGCCTTTGCAACCTCCCCTCCAACTTTTCCGTAACTCCCTTCTAATCCCAACACAAAATATCTTCCTGTCCCAGCATAGTTCCCAGTGCCTTAAAGCCAATTCGGCACCACAATAGCCCCCATGGAAAAGTCGGGGGATAGGAGATCACCCAAGCCCCCAGCTGGAGTGTTTCAGTCTTCCCCCAATTTATGCAAGCTAAGGAAGCCTACTGAATAGAGTGTGCTGACATTCAGTCAAAACCTGGACATTGTAATCATGAGTAATTAACACAGTCATATTATCAGCATATACAGAGATCACCACCAGAGTACAAGCTGGAAAAGGGAAAGAAAGGCCAGAAAGGCGTTTGCATAGCATGCATAACCAAGGTTTGAAGGAAAAAACATGCAATAACCTAAATAGGGTACAACCCTATCTGATTCCCCTATAGAATAGAAAGTGGGTGCTCAAAACACCATTCACCTTAAGTAGACTTAATAGATTAACTGAATGACAGGAACATAAGAACGGCCAT